GGCAACAGGTTGGTCCCAACTCAACGGCAAGAGTGAAATTCCTCCAGGCATAAGGGTTTGGATTCTGTCTCTCATAGATCCAGAAGCTCCAAGGACCAGGAGTGAGTTTCGGGCAACCCTAGGGTCTCTATGTTGAAGTGATTTCTAAACTTCATCTTGCCCAGTCCCTACTTTTATGTGTCCTCGTCTGCCATTCCTTTTCTTCACTCTTCCTTTCACATGTCAACTCACACAGTGCACCAGAGACTCAGACACGTGGACCCACACACAGATTCCTCCGCCAGTCACCATGCACACACAGACCTCATTTAGCACTAAGAGAGATGGCATTAGACAAGCAAATGGGGAAATAAACCAGTTAAAGGACTGAGCCCACCTAGAGTCCGGCAGAACAGTGCTGAAGCCCCAGAATGTCTGGCATCATAGCATAACGCAAGGTATTATTAACACACGACAGTCTACCTTTCAAGAAGGGAGCTCTGGTCGCCTCCTGGGCCAACCCAAATGCACACAGTTCAAAACCACACACTGACCTGCAGGAGAAAGATGGGCAATCTTAACCTCTGCAAGGCACAGACTCTACCAACCCACTAAAGGGTCGGCGATGAGTTGGTTCCAACCCGACAGCATAAGACAACGACCACCACCTTTCACTTGTTAAGGATTGAATTGTGTTCCTCAGAATAATAACGGAGTCCTAACCACTGCCCCAGTGAATGTGATCCTGATTGAAGGAATAGGATTTTTCTTTGAAGATTTCTCAGTTACATTAATGAAGTTAATACTGGAGTAGGTCAGGTCCTAACCTTTATCTGCTCTGAATGGCATCTTATAAAAAAAGGGTAGACACAGAAACAGTCACCCAAAGGGAAAGAGAGAGTTCATGTGATAACAGAAGATGCATCTATACACAGTCAAGGATGCCAAGGACTGACAGCAGCCACCAGAAGGTAAGAGGAGATGCAGGAAAAAGGTCTTCTCTCAAAGCCTCAGGAGGAATCAACACAGCCAACCCTGTGATGTGAACTTCTAGTGTTCAGATTTGTCAGAAAACAAACCTCTGTTCCTTAAAATCACCTGCTCTGTGGTCTTTTGTTATGGCAGCCAAAGGGAATGGAGACCTGACTTCTAAAAAAACCCTTCTTCCATCTCTAGCAACTATTATAGACAGAACTGAAAGAGGTGGCTTTTTAAAGTGTCTATGCCAAACCCAAAGACAGTGAAGCATAATTGGAAGCAATTATTTACAATTATAAAGTCTAAGGCTTAAACATTATCATTTTCAAACACAACAGAGGCCACAGGTTAAATATTTAATGGTAAATGATTTTTTATACGGATACCAAGTCCATGAAACAAGAAAAGGATGTTAAGTGCCTTCAAGTCAACTCCATCACCCTAATGAACAACAGATCAAAACCATGCCCTACCCGGTACGCACACAATCCCCACCACCCTCGAGCCCATTCTGCAGACACTGTGTTAATCCCTCTCACCAAGGGTCTTCCTCTTGCTCTCTCATTGTTCCTCTACTTTCCCAGTTATGATCTCTTTCTCCCAAGGACCGGCCCTTCCTGGTAGCAGACCTAAAGTATGTGTGACAAACCATCCTGGCCTCTAAGGGGCACTGTGTTGTGATTCTTTCAAGAGAGATTTGTATATCTGAAAAAGGAGTAATATTCAGAGTACATGAAGAATGTCAACAGTTCAACAACAAAAAGACCATCCAATGAAAAACAGGCCAAGGATTTGAAGCGATGCTCAATGTCATTAGTCAGTGTTGTTGTTGACTGTTGACTACCGTCGAGTTGGAATCGCCCCACAGCTGACCCTCCAGTGAGTTTTCAGAGGCAATACGGGAGGAGGTCACTCATTTTTGTCCTGCAGGGCAAGTGGTGGATTCGAACCTTCGGGGTGGCGCCCAGCTGGTGTTCCTTAGGGCTGGCAGTACAATTCCTTACCGCTCGGCCACCAGAGCTTCCTCACTTGTCATTAGGGAAATGAAAATTAAAACAACATGAGTTACTACATCAGGCACCAGGATGGCTACATCAGAAAAGAAAACGCTTATTGGCAAGAATGTGGAGAAAATGCAAGCCTCATGCAGAGTTGGTGGGAATGTGAAACAGTGCAGCAAAAAGTTTAATGGTTCCTTATAACATTAAATGTAAAAGTACCACATAATTCAGCAATTCCACTCACAGGTATATTAAAAAATGGGGGGGAGGGACTTAAAAGAGAGGACTGAAACAGGTATCTACCTGTAAACCAATACGCAATGCAGCATATTATCCGTAACAGTGGAAATAATACAAGTGTCCATCAACAGGTGAGTGGGTAAAGTATGGTACGTAACACGCAATAGAGTATTATTCAATCATAAAGAGAAGAGATTTCTGATTCAAACGACAACATGGAGGACCTCTGGAAAACAGTAAGCTGAGTAAAGTCAGTCAGGAAAACAAGGCCAAGCTTGATCTCATATATATGAAGTCCCTAGAATGGGCAAATACAGCAGCAACAGTTCATTAACGAGAGGAGGAAGAACGGGAGTTACTGCTAACAGGGTACTCAATTTCTGTCTGGGTTGATGGAAAGCTCTTAGAAATGAATAGTGGTGACAGCAGGATCACATGGTGAAAGTCATTAATGTCCTCGAATTGGACAAGTGGTTAAAAACTTTTTGCTATTTTTATTTTTAACACAATAAAAAGAAGAATGACGTTTTTAAAAAGCAGCCACCACCAAAAAGGGTTAAGCGTAAGTTTAAAAAAAAAAGAAGATACTGGGGAGGTTAGGAACAGTCCTCAAGAGGCCTTTCCAGAGGCATCTCAGGAATGATGACAAGTTATGGGGACCATAGCGGGGCTCAGACTCCAAGTCATCATGGGAAAAACGTAAGACAACAGGATCCCACAGCTTGTAAAACCAAGGTCTGGAAACCAGCTCAGGCAAAGAGGCAAACATCCCTGTTATCCACACCGAGCTTCCTCTCTCTAAGCTGTCCTGCATGCCTGAAGCCACAGAAAGCCGAGAGATAGGCCCTATTCATATCACACTTGGATTACAAAACTGACTCCAGATGTTAGCTCCGATTCAGTTCTTGTTACCCCTGGACAGGACCCTACATGATCTTTCTAGAACCCAAACGTGTTTAGTCACTGCACTACCTCACATCCCTGACCTGGCTGAGAAAGGATCCTCTCTGTCTGATCTTTAAGGTCTTCCCTGGTCTGATCCTACCAGCCTCTCCATTTTAATCGCCCAGTGCTTCTTAGTCGATTAAACTTCACTCACTCCATGCATCCACTGTCTGCCACATACTGTTTTCAAGTACAAGGAATAAAATATTAAAGAAGACAGGCAACGTCCCTATCATTGTGGAGCTTACGTCTCAGTTATAGGAGAGATAAAATAAACAAACACCTGGGAATTACATATGTTAGGTGCATAAGCACTAACATGAAAATATTATTAAGAGTAAGGTGACAGAGATAACAGGCTAGTTTTTGATAGGATAAGCAGGAATGACCTCTTTAAAGACATAATATTTGAGCAACACTGGACTGAAACAAAAAGTCAGTCATGAGAACACCTGGGAGAAGATAGTTCGAGAAAGAGGGTCCCTCACCCCTTTCTACTGCTGTTCGAAAGGCCAGCACAGAAGCATGCTTGTATTTTTCACTGAGGTGCACAAGGGGCCTGGAGAGGCTGGCATACAGGTCCACTGGAAAGAGTGCAGGAGATGGATTCAGAGAAACAGCGAAGGAATGAACCACCCCCAGAGGCCTTGCAGGCAAGGTGAGAGTTCCACTTTATGCATGATACACACCTCCTTGAACACAGTTTGTGGCCTCTGACCCTCTCAGCAGGCTTAAGACACCCTTCCATACCCTTATCCATCTGGCAAACTAAACCTCTTTCAAAGCCGGCTGCCAGTTCCTCTGTGAGTTCTGTAGATCCTACATGCTGACGGGCAATGCCTCCCCTCAGCCTGCCACAGCACCCTGACCACACCTGTACTGAACATACTGATGACACTCACATGCACGCGCTTGTTGATCTGCCTGTTGGCCCAGAGACGTCAGGGATACGAATATGAATCATTCTTATCTAGCATCGACAGTAACATGGACAGGACAAACAACCAAGAAAAGTACTTCATTGAACTTCTTTTTGAATTAAAATGCTAGTTATGAAGAAAGCAAAATAGTCTAAGCTCCTTGTTGTTGCCGCTCAGTGTCGGTGAGTCAGAAATGACTCAGAGCTGACTGACCCTCCAGAGGGTTTTCAGAGGCAGTAAGTCCCATGGGAAGAGACACCCATCTGTCTTCTGTGGAGCATCAGGTGGATTCAAACCACATACCTTATACAAACTTAGCAACAGAAATTTAAACATGGAAATGCACAGGGAAACATCAGCTTTACAAAAAATCTAAATATATAAATGAATAAATGGAAATCCGAAGTCTCTGTAAACTTTCATTACAATAAAAGGGAAAAAAAAATCCAAATCCTTGTGATATAAACCAAAACCCAATGCTGCCAAGTCAACCCCAACTCATTAATGACCGTACATAACAGGGCAGGGCTGCGCCTAGAGCCTCCAAGGCCATGACTTTCATGACAGCTGGCTGCGGGGACTTTCTCCCACAGAGTGGCTGGTGAGCTCAAACTGCCAACCTCTTGGTTAGCCCCCAGATATGCTACAGCCACAGTAAATAATAATGAAAAAATCTAGGCTCGTAAGTATTAAAAAGAAGCTGAGAGAAATTAAGTATGAGCAGAAACAAAACAAGCAGGCAATTCCAAACTCAATTAATTATAGGCCAATTTCCACCCACAAGCTGAAAAGGAGGATCCTCTAATCAGAGAGAATCTAGGACATCAGACGCCCTATAAGGAAGGTAGGTCATTCCAGCAAAGACAGGTTCCTGAAAGAGCCAACTTTCCAACAATACACACAACAAGGCCAGGTTTAGAGGCGAGAACACCCTTACCTCTGCATCCAGAGTGGCTGAGGCCACGATCAAGCGAAGATCCCCTCTTTTTTTCTGAATCTGTGAAAGGAGGCATCAGGAAACAGAAATTTTTATCGAAGAAATTATTTGATGTCTTAGATTTACTTCAAAATAATGCAGATATAGAGTTTTCAATTGGTTTTTTTGTTGTGGTTTTTTGTTTTGTTTTGTTTTTTAAGAAGAAGGGACCTAGAAATGAAGCAAGTCAGATCCAAAATTAACTACAGTTAAAGCACATAGACAAAAGAAGGGTTCAGGATGAAGGAATTGGAAGAAATCCAGGGGGAACCTGAAAAGGTGGGATAATGATGGGCATGGATCAATGGTGATTAATTTTCTAAAACACAGTGTATGGGAATGATCGTATAAAACACAATGAGAACGAAGGAGTGTGTGAAACAATATAAATAAATGAAAAACAATATAAACAAACTTTGTATGCAAATCACTATAAAAGGGTTTTTTTTAAAAAAAAAAGAGGGTTCAATATACTATTTTCTCTAATGCTGCAAATATTTGAAATTTTCAAATGACTTTGATGGAAGTCTAATGTCCTCAAAGATTAATTAATGACACAGGAAAATGAACTTTTTTCTTTTTGAGGAACATGATCTTAATGATCTTTAAGGCAAAGACACAAGATGGAAATTAGAATATACAATGCAATTCCCATCATGCTCAAGCAAACTGATGCCTCATACATAAACAAATACACATGGGGGGAAAGGAGGAGACAATTTTTATAGCTGCTTTTTTCTGAGTGAGTAAAATATGGATGATTTTATTATTTTCCTCTCTCTTTCTTCGGCTTCTCCAAATTGCTTTACTTCTTTTATAATCAGGCCAATCAAACTAAACAAAAGTATGGCAGCAGCAAAGTCATACCTTTTTTTTTTTATTTTTTTTTAAATTTTTTTTTTTAATATTTTTAACTTAATTTTTTTTTAATTTTTATTTTCTTTGTATGTTTGTGTACGGTCAAATCAGATCTGACTGGTACAGGAAATTGTTCCTCCTTCCCCGGCTGAGCATCTGGTGGATTCGAACCATGCGCTTCTGGGATTGCAGTGCAGCTTCTTGCAGTCATACCTTTTTTAACAAGCCAATGGCAATGTCTGTATACAAGGTCCTCTCGTGGGCTTCATCCAGCATGATGGCACTAAACATCAAGAAGGAACACTTCAGTCAGCATACAAAGCTCCCCTTATTATCCCATGCCTACCACTAGAGAGAAAGGTGGCCATTTAGTCCCCCTGTAATCACTTGTATCAAAAGTAAAGCTAAATAGCTTCTCTGTGGTAAAAACATATTCATAATCCATTCAAACAGTGATCCCAACCATCTTAGTGAAGACAATGGTGTATTTATTGCTGTCCCTAAAGAACATTTACATCATCATTGGCTTCTGATGGGATTTAACATCTAATATTAAGTTGTAACATAATATATAATCCCACAGATTACATGAAAAGTTAAAGTCCAACTCCCTATACACTGTTAAGCTACAGAAAACAGAACAAAAAAACACGTGATCACCGTCGTACCAGATGTGTATCATATGTGACATCCTTTTCCCAGAATTGAAAAATCTGTGTGGGGACAACTTTAGTGCTAGAAGGATAGATAAAAACATACAAGGAAGGGGAGGGTGATAAGCATGTTGCCTAAAATGTTGCACAGCTGTAATGTGTGCTAAGTCTCCACGTCTCAGTGAATCCTGGGATGTAACAGGGACACATAGGCCGTTTAGCCAACCACCGTGGAGTTCTAATACATGCGAGGACTCGCACCCTCACTCTCAGGAAAGAACAGGGGTGTTACAAAAAGAACAAGTTAAGGGTCATTTAAGCAATGATGTAAGTTTACATGTGCTCATTAATGTCTGTAAAATGGTCTTGTCACCTACATTCTCAGAAAAACACCAAGGGTTACAATAGCTAAAGTAAAGACAAGCGCTCTGGGACCTCTGGAAGCGGATGCCAACCTCAGCTGTCACACAAACATCTGCGAACTTTTAAAACTTTAGGGAAGAGACAAGAAAAGCACGCTTACCTGTATCTGGTTAACAAAGGGTCAACCATCATTTCCCTGACCAGCATTCCATCTGTCAGAAACTGAAAAAATAAAAACACAATGTTTCAGAAATAATCCACTTACCTCGTATCTTGGTAATTTTTAAAAAGGCTCAAGCACAACTTAATGGTGTGTACACAGAAAATTTCCCCAAAGGGCTGTGAGGAAATGTACAGTTTTAGCTCTACAATTGTTCGCAAATGAAACTTCAAACGTGGTATCCCCTGGGACTCACGAGCCCTCAGCAGCATTTCACTTGCATTTATTATCTGAATACTGGGCAGACCCTACGTCCTTGGGGACTTCACCACCAGTAACACAGATGAACAGGAGACGAAGACGGCCTGTGTCTGCTTAGGGGAACAATGTGGGTCTCACACAGTGGTTCTTTAGATTTCCAACGCACTAGACTCACTGCTTTTGAGGCTACTGTCTTCAACCTCAAATGACAGTATTTTGGGGAGGCTGGAATGGGAGTTGGGCCCACCGTGGAGCTGTTGTTGTTGTTATGTACCATCAACTCAACTACGTATGACTCACAACAACTCTATGAACAACAGCTCTGAACCCTGCCTTATCCTGAGCCAACCTCATCGTCTCCGACACACCTGCCCCCATTGCCTTAGTCACTGTGCCAACCCCTCTCATGCGGAGTCTTCCTCTCCTGTCCTGACCCTCTACCCTGCAAAGCTTAATGTCCTTCTCTAAGGACTGGTACCTCCTGGCAATATTTGCCCAAAGTATGTGAGACAGAGTTTCAAAATCCTTGCCGCCAACAGCAACCTGGTTTCACCCTCTCCAGGACAAACCTGTTTTTTCTCTTGACAGTCCACGATATGTTCAATACGCTTCTCCAGCACCACAACTCAAAGGCATCAATCCTTCTTCTTGTCATTATTAGCTGTCACTATCCAGATCTCAGATGCATAGTAAGTAACTGAGATGACATGGCCTGGATCAGGTACACCTTAGTCTCTGGACTGACATCGTTGCTTTTTAGTATTCTGGAGCGGTCCCTGACAGTGCTTTCCTAAAGCAACTAATCTTTTGATTTCCTGCCTGCTGGTGCCAAGAATGTTGACTGTGGAGCCATTCAAGGTGAAACTTAACAACTTCTATCTTTTCTCTATGATGCTGCTGCCAAGTAGCCTGGTGATGGGAATCTTAATTTTCCTGATGTTGAGATATGTAATGGATACTGAACTATATTCTTGACCTTCTGCAGCACACGCTTCAAGTCCTTCTTAGTTTCAGTGAGCAAGGTTGTGTCATCTGCATAACACTGGTCATTGATGAGTGCTCCTCCAATCCCAATGCCACATTCTTCTTCATTAAGTCCAGCCTCCTAAATGATCTGTTGCAAATATAGATTGAAAAGATATCGAGAAATTCTACATTCCTGACACACATCTTTCTTGATTTTGAACCATGTGGTGTTTCCTTGCTCTATTCATACGACAGCTTTCTGGTCTAGGTATAGTTTCGCATAAGCATGATCAAATGTTCTCGAATTCTCATTCTTCCTAATGAAAGTCACAATTTGTTGTGATCCACATAGCCAAATGCTTCTTCATAGTCAATAAAACACTGACATACTTCTGGTACTCTCTGCTTTCCACCAAGATCCTTCTGACATTGGCAATGATATCCCTAGTGCCACGCCTTTTCCAAACCCAGCTTCTCTTTCCTGACAGTTCTCTCTATATATGTTGTTCTAGTCGGTTTGGGAGAAGCTTCAGTGGATAAACATCCAGTTGCTAACTGAAAACTGGGTGGGCTGAAACCACCAGCTGTTCCATGAGAGACAGATGTAGCATTCGCTCCTGTAAAGACTGCTCAGAAACCCTGTGGGGCAGTTCTACTCTACCCTGTAGGGTCCCTAAGAGCAGGGATCAACTTGAAGGCAACAGCTTTGGTTTGGCTGGGGCCTGCAGCTAAGAGAATAACCTATGATGTCAGACTGCTGGCTCTCCCCCTTACCAGCTGTGGACCCAAAGCGAGTTACTTACCTTTTCTGAGCTGCATTCCTCATTTGTAAAATGGAAGTAATAAAAGCTCTATCTCACAGGGTTACTGTGAGAATTAAATGAGACCGGAAACACACTTTAGCACAGGCTTCACTATAACATAGTGTTTCGTGAATGTCAGCTACGATTACGTGGGATTGATGTTTATAAAATGTTTAGAAATGTAAGGCTCCTCCTGGATGTTGTTACTCCCACCCAAACATGAACTCGGTACTTGAACAAATCTAAATGTCTCCCAAGTAAGTTACACGCTTTACTTTCTTTTTTTAAAAACAAGATGCTTCTCCATCACATTTTCCCTTGGTAAGTGGTATCAGCTGTCACATATACACGTAAAGTGAAAAGTGAGAACCCATGATGAAGGGATCACTAGTCAGAACTTTGTTCATGGGTTTGCCATACGTCACAGCTGGCTTGACGGCACCTAACAACAACAGTCACGAACTGGACTTCTTATAACCAAATGAAATTCAAAAGCTTTGCATAAAAAGGCTCAAGAATCATTTGGTAGTCTAATTCCCTGAAAACTATTTGGAAATGAGTTACTTTCATATATTTGACAATAAAGGAACCTATTCCCTTTACAAGGAAAATAAACATCAAGGGTAACAAAATATGGAAATTTAGAAAACAAGGTTTATATTTTTACAAATCATGACACTATTCACTGACTTCATCTGATTATTATCCATTTCCCTCTATTGCAAACTGAAAGGTAACAGCAATTCTAAGTACTGCTTATGTCATCAAAGCAATTTCATTCAGTGTTTTATTCTGCTGTCTGACTGGACTTTGATTTCAGAAGAGTGGCACACAGCTGACATTCTGATGAGCTGATTATTCACTAATTACTACTGATACTAATTATTTTAGAACTAGCAACTAGGTCAAGAGATACGCACGTAAAATCCATTACCAGACAAAAGTGAGAAAGTTCTAACTAGTACAAACACCAGCTGTGAAAACGAGACTTTTTCAGTTTATACTACACCTTATTCCTGCTTTTAAACCTTTCACAGATATGTTTTTAGATTTAGCTATCTATGTGAATTAATGGAAAACAATAAAATAAACACCTGGAAAGAGGGCTTCCAGTCCAATACTATTATCAGTAAACACAAAACCCATAACCTTGGGTAAGCATTCAACCAAGTAAGCCCTCAACTTCTTCCTCCGCAGAACTGAGAGATTAACATGACTTCAACAGTCCCTTCTGAGCACAAATCTATGCCTCCTCGCCGCCTGAATCTGCTGAGGGCCAGGATGCTTTCAGATTCAGCAATGACAGTTGCTTTTATTTTCTTTCTGATCCTCAGAAAAACCTTTCTAATGTACAACAAGAAAAGCGGCGCCGGCAGCTCACCTTAATTCTCGTGGCCAGTGGGTCGGAGCAGTCATCGAAGCGGATGCAGTAGCCCACCTCATGGCCCAGCACTGCCCCTCTTTCCTCGGCTACTCTCCCTGCAACCTTTGGGAAGAAAGTTCATGCTGAAAATGGAGACGCAGGAATTCCGGCACAGAGCACGCACACACTACAGCCAAGTCTGGAGGTCACTTAATTTTTTTAAACAGTATGTGAACACCGTGGAAAATGAGAAAAGGAGCAGGTCACTAAGGAGTGACAATCTACAGTATTTATTCATTTATAGGCTTATCCTTCGTATCATACTTATCATGGATTTGAGAACAGCAGAATGACGTAAAGGGATTACAGATAAAGGTCGGGAGAATTACACATGAAGTCTGAGAGACCAAAGCCAGGGAGAAAGTTAAAACATATATATGCCAAAGTCATTCATGTTAAGCCACAAATTTAGAACTAAGTTTCCTGGCAGTCAAAACAAAAAGGGAAACAAAAGCCACTACAAGATTTGCTCTGTTTGTAAAGAAAGAAGACAAGAAGGGAGCTCTGGTGGCCTAGTGGCAAGAAGTTGCGCTGTAGTCCCAAAAGCCCACAGTTTGAATCCACCAGATGCTCCGCTGGAGAAGGAGGGACAATCTCCTCCTGTGCCAGTCAGATCTGATTCGACAGCACACAGCAAGTAATTAAAAAAGAAAAAAGACAAGAACCAAGGAATACTTTTCATATCTTAAGATGAAGCACCTTCCACTGGACAATTAAAGAACAGGAGAATGAACACATTAATTACTGAGCCACATCAATTTTCTCTTTGAAGAAAAAAAAGAGTATTGTTTCAAGAGCCAGATAACCTAAAACCACTGCAACAGTAGCCCAGTTACCAAAATCATTAAAACGCAAAAGGAGGGGCGCTCTGGTGGTCTAGTGGCAAGAAGCTGTGCTGTAATCCTGAAGGCTCACGGTTCAAATCCACCAGATGCTCCACCGGAGAAGGAGCACAATCTATACCAGTCGGATCTGATTCAACAGCAAACAAGAAGGGGGGGGGGGGGCGGAAATGCAAAAGGAAGACCAGAAAGTACGCTAAAAATAAAAAAGTAGAGTAAAAGCAGCAATCATAACCTATATTATGATGACCATAAACTATAGGTAACATTTCACCTACCAATAAAGTGAGTGAAGAAAAATAATTCAAGAGCAGTATCTCTCAGATGCCCAGAAAGTTAAAACATTGTGGTGGTGGTTTTGTTTGCCGTACAGTTGGAACCAACTGACCCTCTAGTGGATTTTCAGAGGTAGTTAATCACATGGAAGCAGAATATCCATCTTTCTCCTGTGGAGCAGCTGGTGGTCTCGAACCATATGCCTTCGGGATTGCAGCACAGATTCTTGCCACTAGGCCACGAGAGCTCCCTATTAAACATGATTCATTTATTATAATTTGAGATTAATTTGAAACATATATTTGAAGTGTTAGAGAAATAGATCAATAATGCTTGTCATTCAGATTTAAAAGATCACTGCATAAGCTACCTAAGAAGAACCAAAGCGAAGCAATAGCCTAGATCCATCCTGGGGACCCGAACCCCCAACCTCCCTGGGAGGCAGGGGTTTATTCTCTCTCTTTCACCTCTGAGGTAACATCCTATGAAGTCTCTAGGTTCTGAGTGTGGGACATGGGCTAACAAGGGAGTGTTGTAAAAGTGTACCGACACAGTAGATCCGGCCTGGCCACTGCGCAGAGCTGGGCCAGGCACACTGGCAACATCTGGCATGAGCATGTGAGAAACTAAGGAGCAGATGAGGATCAGACGTAGCTCTGCCTAATGACCTAAATTACAGAACCGGGAGGCCAAAACAAATCAATCACCGAGCAGCCGATCTACAACTGGAGGAGCATCACACACTTAGTCTTTCAAAACAGCTTAGGAAACCAGAAATTCACCCTACCCTGTTCTACCTCAGGAGCTTACAGGTCCTGACAGCCAGTATTTCATCAGGGCAGTTTGGTTAATGCTGTTATCTCAATTTCATCCCTATAGGATATCACAGTATACACCCTGGAAAACAGAACACAGACTGTACAGAAAGACAGCAGGAGCTTTGGGAGAAGACAGGTTTGTAAGAATGAGAGTAAGATCGTAGATTCTGGTCATAAAAACATAGCCGTCTTATGATTCTATAAAGTAGAAGATAAAATTCAACTTATTTTTCCTCAATGTTTCACTATTTATTTATATTTGGTATAAAAACCCTTGTGTTTCACTTTCATCCTGAGGCCAGAAAACTGCAATTGGGCTTTGGGGCTTGTCCAGAATCACAGGTTCAGCAGGGGCCTGGTCCTGAAGTCAAGCTCCAACCATCGAAGTCCAGTGACCACTCTCATTCCTAACTGCCTGGTGCAGAGATCAGGCGACAGCACAGACAATCTGTTCTTGGGATTTCAGATTGTTCTCAGATGTTAAATCTGTACGCAATGTACTTTCTCAGATGCAAACGCTCAAGCTTGACAGTTCTATTAATACTGTGTGGTTAATTTATACTCTATCCTTTGAAGAGAAGGCCTGTGGTTTCATGGCAATGGTCCACAGCTACAAATTTGGAGATTAATGCACACTAATTCAGAGCCAGGATTCCAAAGCACCAGCAGGGAAAATGATCCTAGGATTCCTCTTTTAGTGACCTTAAAAGGTTAGTTCTAACACTGCAGGCTAGTTTGAATACATGTGAAACTTACGAAATGCTTGTCAAGAATTTTTAACTTGAACAGTGTGAGAAAATGAACTTTGGGGAAAAGCACTGCACAACATTGAAAACTTGAAACAAAAGTGATTTGGGGAAAGAAACAATTTCTTATGCTGTATAATATGTCGTTGAATTGGAAACGACTCATAGCTGATCCTTCAGTAAGTTTTCTGGGGCAATAAATCACAAGGGAGAAGACGGCCTATCTTTCGCCTGAGACACAGCTGATAGATTTGAACTGTGTGCCTTTGTGTGGGTAGCACAACTCCTTACCCACTAGGCTATCAGAGGTCCTTGTGGAGACAGCAAAATGAAAAGCTTTTTATCCCTATTTCTCTCTAAAAGCTAAATTAAAAAATAACAAAAGAGCTAAGACACAATGACACAAAGTCCAAACAATACACGAGGAAGCCCACTTGTTAAGGCTGAACGCAAACGAGACCTTGGCCTCCTGACAAAAAGAGAATTCTAAATTCCTTCATGTTAACTGCATCCACCCTAAAATGAAAAGCTAACAATCTTCGAATCAGAAAGACAAGAAGTGGCACTGTGTTTCAGGCTCAGGGGACATAGGAAATGTCTCAATGGCACTTTTATAGCAAAGAATCACAGAAGTGTTAAATTGAAGGAAAACACAGGCAGGCAGGTCACTCCTATTGCTTAAACCTCCAAACTCCAAAGGAAAAAGGATTGCAGAAAGTGACCACATGGATAACACACACATGTATAACTGAATTATACATATAAAAACTGATGAAATATTAAATGCGGTTTTTATGTAATTATACAGACAGACATATACACACACACACATATATATAAAACCATAATAAAAAGTTTAAATAGATTCCTCAAAAGCATTACTCAAAGAAAGAAAAGCCAGAATTTGGCCAAAGAAATTACAAACCAAGAGAGCTCTAGTGTCCTAGTGGCAAGACGCTGCACTGCAATCCCAGAGGTATGCAGTTCAAATCCACCAGATGCTCTGATTTGATGGTACACATAAAAAAATAATAAAATAAAAACTGAAATTTTAAAAAACCCATACATTTTAAAAGAAAAGAAAAAAGAAATTGCAAACACAGCTTCATTCACAAAGAGAGAGATTCAAAGAAGAACTGATGAGAAACATTTCAGACCAGAAGCCAGCCTCTGGAAGTATTTCAAATCTTAAAATTTAGATTGTTAAACTGGAGGTTTTCTCAAAATTTGAGGATAATCCCCAAAATTTGCACAATATTAATAAATGCAAGTTACAAAATGGAGATGAACTTTTCTAGATCAATACTAAAGAAAAGGGGACCTCAGACTGTATACACAGATGGCTCAAATGGTACTTGTACACTAGGAAAACAAAGTCAATCAATTCTATATCAACAGTATGATCCTTTAAATAGAAAGCCACAGCCAAATAAGCACATAAGAAAACAAATTAGTAACAGAATCCAGCCAATCAAGAACCAAAGAAAAATGAGTCATTTAGGGGATCGTGGATACAAGTAGCAACAAACATTAAAGCCACTTAAACTAGAATCAAGGTTATGTACCTCTTAAGAGTTACAACTTTAGAAAAGAAAATAAATGTTACAAGTCTGGATATAAAGTTTATAGCAGAGCATCCAACAAATGTAGAGAAAAGACTGAGTATGTAAATACTCTTTTCTTTCAAATCAGGAAACTAAGGTTGAAACATAGAATTGCTAAAATAAGTAAAGGGTTTTTGTAATATATTTTCATCATTTTCATAGTTTAATAGGTTATTTTGTGGCAAATAAATATTTCACTAAAATGCAATAATTATTTCTATTTTACTTGTGTTTCTTCTTTTGTTAAGTCCCACAAAAGTGTGTACATACAGTATGTTCTCATTTTTACAAAACTCTTTCTTTCACCCAGTCAAATATTTATACTTAAAAGAAACTTGGAGTATTCACCAAACAATGATCATGATTTTTGCTGGGTGTTGATATTTGTGTCTTTATATTTGGTTGGTTTGGCTTCTATTTCCTTTGTCCTTCAATGCTTAAAATATCCAAAAATGGGCTGTTACCATCATTACAACAATAATCATACAATGGCCCATTCTCTAAATTGAAGGGTGTGTGTGTGTGTGTGTGTGTGTGTGTGTGTGTGTGTGTGTGTGTACACCATCAAACTGGATCTGACTGGTACAGGAGGAGACTGTCCCTCCTTCTCCAGCAGAGCATCTGGTGGATTCGAACCACATACCTCTGGGATTGCAGTGTAAAATGAAGATAATTTTGTGGAGTATCTTATCTTCAATTGATTCCTTCTCATAGTCTTCACTTAAATATTGTGCTTTGGTTTTTTGGGAGGAAAAAGAAAAGACTTAATTTCATGCTCCCCTTCTCTGGGGCAGGGCAAACGCAGTCCCTCCACTACCATAAATTACACAGTCTAGTTTCCCACATTTGGGGAAATCTCAGGGGTCAGCACATCCGGAGTGCAATGAATAAGCCTCACCCTGGGAGAACCAACTGTGTGATCATGGTATCTCCTCTACCAGAAGACTTAATTTTTTTAAGAATAAAATGTTTAAACAGTAATTGCTTTTTAGTTGGAGCTTTTAGGAAATGAGAGTCAAGTTCAGTCACTGAAACAAAGACAGAGCTAATTTATTTTACAAAAATAAAAAACAAAAAAAAAACTTTAAAACTTTAAAAATAAAAAACAAACTTACAGAAACAGCAGCTACTCTGCGAGGCTGGGTGACACCTACAACTCTCCCTTCGGCCGTCCAGCCAGCTTCCGCGAGGTACTACAAAAAAACCACAGGGCAAAGGGTAGTGTAAGACATGATGTATACCAACTTCGTAAGCAAACCAGTATCAAATAAAAATTAAAACACAGAAACCCACAGGTCCATGTATCCTGAAAGCATCTCCTTAAAAAAGAGTCTCCCATAAGATGGCCCCACTTTGTATTAGAATCACTTTTTTTTTTCAGCTTTAAACTTTTCATTTTATTTGATGACGTTATTTCTTCTCGAGCCATAAGTTTTTGTTTCTTCAGTTTCTTCTGGGAGATCTTTTTCTTCTGGACAACTTCCTCTTCTGGTTTAGGAACAATCTGTTCCTTTTTCAGTAAGGATCATCTCAATATGGCAGGGGGAGCTCATGTAGGGGTTAATCCAACCATGAGCTCTGTACGTGCGGCGGTGTATCTTGGGAGCTCTGTTCACCTGGATATGCTCAATGACCAGAGAATCAACATCTAAACCCTTAAGTTCAGCATTACTTTCGGCGTTTTTAAGCCTATGCAGCAAAAACTCGGCACTCTTTTTGGGCCACCGACCCTGTGTCCGACCCCACTGTTTGGCCTGGGCACACCTACCAACTCCACCATTGTATCGTCGGAAGGGCACACACTGCTTTTACAAAGTGACATCTTTCAGATACTTGGTGGCTTTCCGGATATGCATACCCTTGATGGCCTGGGCAGTTTCTCGGGTGTTCTTAACATGGACCCGGAGATTTGAGCCTCTTGATTTGCATGATTTTGTGGGGTTTTCCGGGTCAAGTGAGTAGCGAACCATGTTGGGAGATTACCTGAAGCCGCTCTAGAATCACTTTTAACAGAAAGGAAGTGGCAGACGGTTGGTTCTGCCTCAGCAGTCAATTTGGGAAAACATTTCCCAGATGAGGAATCTGAGGCTTAGGTAACATGCTTACATTCCTAACAGAGCTGATAAACAGAAGAAGCAAAGCACAGATTCAGCATCTGATGCCTTCCCAAGAGAACCAAGCTCACTGTTGTCAAGTCGATTTCACCTCCGATCAGCCCCAGAGCAGAACGGAACTGCCGAGGCTGTAAATCTTAATGGGAGCATCTTTTCTCCTGTAGAGCAACTGATGGGTTCAGATTAACAAGCCTTTTGGTTAGTAGCTCGACAGTTAACCCTCTGACCATCCACGGAGCAGCTCTGGTGGCCGAGTGGAAAGGACCTGCTCTGCCATTCCCAAGGCACATAGTGGAGATGGACAACCGCCTTTTGTGCCATTTGCTGCCTCTGAAACCCGCTAGAGGGACAGCCAGGGGTTGGTTCCCACTTGATGGCACTTAACAATAACCACCACGAGCAGGCAGCTCGGGTGGTGCAGCGGTTACATGCTCAGCCTGGTCATCAGCTTCTGCAAAGACTGTTGTCACTGTTGTGAGGTGCCCTCAAGCTGACTCAAAGCAAACCTGTTAACAACACATCTGAACCCTGCCCCATCCTGAGCCATCCTCGCATCTCTGACATGCTCAAGACACTCAATCAGTGCATCTTGCTGAAGGTCTTCCTCTCTATCTCTGCCCCTCTGCCTTTCCCAGCACGATGTGACCACCACAAGGATTACAGCCCTGGAGAAGCCACGGCGGGGGGCAGGGGGCAAGGGCGGTTCACCCCTGACCTACTGGGGCACTAGGAGTCAGAAGCAACACACACGGTTTGGGTTTTGAGGGTTCAAAGCTGTCTGGACGGCAGGTTGTGAAGGTGGCACTGGGTCTGCTGTCCTTAGGGTCGCTATGAGTCAGCACTGACTCGATGGCACCTAATGACATCAACAAGCAGTCCTGAAGAACAAGCAACCCTACAGGAGACACTCAGGAGAACGTCAAAGCTATAAAACAAAAAAGGTTCAAGTTCATCTTAACCTAAGTATCAACCATACAAAAGCTTTGGATCCAATGAATGAAACACAATTAGATTTTACACATGTTCATATATATGGTGATGGTTGCTAGCATACATGCAATCTGATACTACTTTAACTAGAATATATTAAATTAGATTTAATATGTTGATACATGCATTCCGGCATTCAAATTTGCTTGCTGGTTATTGCAGTTATGTATTTTTATAGGATCTGAATTGTTTTCCAGTGAATAAGTATTGTTTCTATATTAAGAGCAAAAAGTGGTTAAAAATGCACATGTGCACTCATCTGTGTGAAAGATAAACAGGAAGGCTGAACCAGAACCTACGGAGACGGGCTGTGTCCAGGGTGTGGGCGGGAAAGGGCTGGCGAGGAGAGGACTGAAGCTGGGGCAGGAGGGTGAGGAGGGAGTAGCTCAGCTTCAGAACCACTGTCACGCTTCGCATGCTCTCCACACACCCAGAAAGTCAACAGTGACAGCCAAGCAGGATGTGGAGGGAACCCAAAACGAAACACAATGACCTTAACCTGACCTTAACCAGATTAAAAATGAATAACCTAACCACACGAAGGGGGTGGGGAGGAGAAGCACCAACGTCAACAACTGGGAAAAGTCAGTCGGTGGCATCTTGACTCAACCTAAATGCTGTCACTGGTAAACCTGTTTCTCACAGGGCTATCACCGAGCAGTCTGGAGACTAATATGAGTTCCTACTAGAATTGAATAAATAAGTAAATATATTGCAGATCATAAGGACTTAGTTTTATGATGTGCTAGGGAAAAAAGTTATAAATATTCATAAACATGCGCTCTACAGGTTTGACTGGAATCCAAACTGTAAGCATACACTTCTGGTTTTTAACACAAATACACTTACCTAGATAAAGGCCAGTCGCTCCTCGGACGATGGGTTAGATGGACGAGGAGGGAGTGATTTTCAGCCTCCCTTGTGATTTACAGCCTCCAGAAAACACTGGAGGGTCAGCTAAGAATCAGTTCCTATTCATCATCAAGGAGGTTGAGTGTTTTTAGTTTTTATTTTTGTGAATTGTCTTAATAACTAAACATCATAAGTCTGTTTACTAACAAGGCAGAGAAGCAATGAACGCCCTCACTTGCAGATCTTGATTTCTATACATCACTCTCCGATAATAAAAGCAATCAGGATTCCTTAGACAAGTGACTCCCAGGGCTAATGTAGGAAAAATGTTAAGATTTCCCACCCTGACTCCTCAGACCTTACTCCATTCTCTTTCCTTCAGACATCACCCTCCTCCCGGGGTTCGTCGCCCTCCTCTCGGGGTTCATCGCCCCCCCTCCTGGGGTTTTTCACCCTCCTCCCGGGGTTAGTCGCCCCCCTCTCAGGGTTCAGCTACTCAGCAGATCTTCTCTGTTCACTCAGCCTTGCTGGGGGAAACGACCAGACAGTGGAATAGACGATATCACTATTCCAATCAGACACTGCTCCTCCCTGTGGTCAGTGTATTCCTATGAGGTCTGGCCAATAATATATGAGTGGAAAGGTCACTCGTCCTCAAAGCTGGCTAAGAGCCATCTCATGATTCTTTGCCCTGTATCAAAAGATCGACAAGTCACATCTCCAACCTGCACCTTCAGCCCAGATCCCAGACTGATGACGCAAAGCCCGGGAACCAACCCGTCATGACCACACGGTACAAGCAAGCTATCAATCTTTGTATTTCTAAGCCCTGAGATTTTCAGGTTGTGTACCACACAGATGAATTAAAAGACAAACTCAAATTCTCTCACGTCCCGTGACCTTTGCTCTCCATTTCCCCAAGGAGTGCAGCACTCAGTTACTTGCTGAAAGGCTGATGGATTGAACCCACCCAAGGACGCCTCAGAAAACAGACCTTATAATCTACATCCAAAAGCTCAAAGCCTTGAAAACTCTACAGTGCCGCTGGGCCCCTCACGCGTGTAGGAGAAGCAGAGCTATCATGAGAATCAACTCCACAGCAACTACCCACAGTGCCCCACTTCCCGGCGCTCCACGGCTGTCCTCATTTGTACGATGACACTAAGCACAGTCCCTGCCTCACAGGCCACCAAGGACTAAAAGGATGCACAGGAGTAAAGTACCCAGCACTTTATGCGGCACTACTTTCTATAGAGGACTTATTACAGAAAGACCCTCAAGCAGGTGGATTGACACGGTGACTGCCACAATGGGCTCCAGTGTGTCAGGAAGTGTGAGGATGGCACAGGATAGAACAGGTTCAGATCTTCTGTTCACAGGGTGGTTATGAGTCCTACTCAACTAACTCCTGTTAGACAGGATCTAACACCAACAACTTATTACAGTACTATCACTCTCCAAGTGGTCCCCTCGGTATTGAGCTGCGCCCTTCTTCTGCATCTATGAACAGCACATACTCTGCCAGTTCCTGAAGCCGGCCACACATCCATCTTTCCTCCAGGTCACCATTTCCCCCGCCGTCAGCATTTCAAATGGTCCTTTCTTTGCTGGGTAATTCCCCCCTCTACCAACAGCAGAAACTTGCCATCCTAAGTACACATCAAGCTGAATGGTGAACTTTTTAAAAAATACCTACATCTAGGGGCGAAACCACTGGGCTGCACAATCTGGTGAGTAGAGGGAAAGGGTGAAGAAAACACAAAGGATGCAGCGGGGACCTGAAAAGACAGGGCAATGACGGGCATGGTCCAAGGGTGGTGATTAATTTTATAAAACATAGTACATGGGCATGATTGAATGAAACACAATGTGAATGAACAGTAATGTGGAACACAATGGTGATGAACTTTGTAAGCAAAGCAATATAAAGTTTAAAAGAAAAATACCTGCCTGAGTCCCACACTACATTATAGAGCTGCGGGGGTCATGAACAGGCAGAAATTGAGCATCAGAATTTCTAGATGCTTCCATCTGAGTGTACCCGCCACTGAGAGCCACAACCATGCAGAGGTGCTGGCGTTCTGATATTTCAACATGAATGCTGGCAACCAAAGCATATTTACTTGTAAAAATCTCTTAAGGTATAATTTTTTTTAATTTTATTCATTTTAATGAACATTTACAGAGATTTTTAATTTCCATTCATTCACTGTTGCACTTTTCTCCCTGCCCACCCCTCCCCCCAAGTTCACGCCTCTCTTTGAAAAGTAAAAGAAAAATTCTTTCATTAGTATACAATCCCCCCACACCCCCCTCCCCACCACCCCAGTTCACTCCACTATGCAACCTTAATTCTGGACTCGTGATAACCATAATACCCTATCATATATCGCTTTTAAATTGTTCTCTCCCAGATTGAATAAGATGTGTTCAATAA